TTTATTTTCCACTTCAAATTTTGCTTGATATGCCAATATTAGGGCCTGTTTGGCTTCCCCATTATTTGTTGGGATATCATTATCAGCTATTTTTCTCAGACTTTTATTAGATTTGTCAGCTTGCTACTATGGCAGAGACAACCTGTCATAGCAAAATAAAAAATAAAATTACATAAAAAATCTAAGAATAAAGTAAAAATATTACATAAGTAAAAGAAACTAATTTACTCATGTAAACAATAATAAAAACACTTAAAATATATAAATAACTTAGAAAGAATAAAGAAAACCTTAATTATTATTACAAATTCTGAATCTACGTACAATTTAACCTAGGGTACCTCAGCCAAAGGTACCCCTAATTGTAACCCCTTCATCCTGTAATACTCACTTAAAGAATTAACAGGTACCCATGGATCACGGGCACCTGAATAATTATGCATTGTACATAACAATATGCATATACTCCAAATCTTGTCTCAGATTTGGAGTGTTGTGTATAGTTTAGAAGATAGACCAGCGTGGCGTGTACTATCTCCAAGCCCGCGTGCCGCGTAGTCATGCTGCGCACTGTTGACAGGCACGCCTGACTACAATTGAGCCCTAGGCTTAAGCCCTCGCGCATGCTAGGTACGCATACCCGCCTTGGATACATGCATAACCCCCTCTGGGTTACCAGTATCCAAGGAAATGGGCCACAAAGCCCCAGAAACTCACTGTGCACGTGTCAACAAAGCCCCCACACGTGTAATAAAAATATAAACAAGCTAGAATATTCATGAATACACTACAGTAACTCTGAATATTCCATCTTCCAGTTTGTAGCACGTGTAACAAGCCCCAGAAACCAGTTCTGGCATATTCTGTGGCCCATTTCCTTGGAAATGACACCACGTAGCAGACTAGCCCTTGCCCACAGGTTCCCAAGGTATATTCTTGGTTCAAATAAATTCGTGCATGAACCCTTGGAGCTTCTAGAATATTATCCCCAAGGTTTCAGCCCTTGTTGCGTCACTAAGTGGGCTAAAATGGGCCAAAAAGCGCTCCCAAGTCCTACTAGGCTCCCCTGAGCAACCCCTGAGGCCTTCCACAGGTATTTAAAGGGCCTTCTGACCGCCCAAATAATGATCCCCCAGCTTGACATTACTATATAGAAATTTACTTACCATTTACAAGTCCCCTACACTTGTAATTAGCCTACACCAGGAAAATTTGATAGTCACTCGATGTCAGGTGACATCAGGGCAACTCCAACCAGCTACCCAGTATCTATCTCGCTGTGTATTTGTATATCATAAAGGAGTATGTATTTGAGTGCTTTTGGCCCAAGTAGCTGAACTTTGAAGGAGCACTCAACCAGTTCTTGCACAAGCACTGCGCAGCTTTTCCCCAGCCACTGAGCGCGCAGTGATTAAACAGTTGGGGTTTAGGCTGGACCACTCCCTGAGCAGCGCAGGCGGAGTGTTTAACAATGTGCAGTGGAACATGCGGCGCGTTGTGGTCCTCGGGACCGCCGGAGCCTATCAAAGGCTCATCCATCTGTGTCATGGAGAAAGGAGGGCAAGCTTCACTGGCCGCGCTTGCAGCGCTCGTGCCTGACAGCCTGGCAGACAAGGACTCGTATGTATGTAGTTCAGGAACCACCCAGCTGTGCAAGCCTCACACCTTGGCCTAGCTTAACAAGCCCCCCGATTCGTCGGCCCTGGTGTGAAGCGCCGTTTGCGAAGCGAGCCCCCCTCCGTTAAGAGGCGTGTAGTAAAGCTAGCACCTCGGCGGACTAATACTGAACACTACCAATACATACTGCGGAGAATGTCTGTAGCTCATCTGGTCGCACGCCTGATCGCAGGCTGCCCGACGACCTAGGGTCTGCAGACTCTAGACGCTGAAGGCTTCTAGGCCACATGTCCCAGAAACGCCCACCTGCGCTTCGATGAGTAAAGCTGACATGGTACATAACGCGAGCCCGTGATACTCCCTGAAGTTTTGTTTATCTACCTTTACTGACACAATGGAGAGGTGAATATTGCAAAGAAGGAAATTTCGCGCAGGGATGGGTAGAACTAGACGAGTTGGATGACTGCCGTGGTGTAAGCTGGAAACAAGGCTTGGGATGCTTCTTCGTCGTCGTCCGACCTGATGATTATTTGTGAACCTTGGTTCTCGATCTTTTGTCGGGTCTCCTTGAGTAGGTCAACCTCTCCCAAAAACTTGCCACCTCAGAATATCCGAATTCGACGTCATGCCCAGTACTTTAGCGGAACAGCTAATGGTAGAGGAGCGGCCCTTCAGGACCGATTGTTTTGGAGGCCGTGTGAAGCCTTGGTATATGCGCACAAGAAGTACATTGACCAACAGCCGGAGGCAGGAAACAACATCAACCATCCCGATATAGTTAGGACGGCGATGTACGACGCCTTCTGTGGGCAATTTTCCCAGTGAAACTGATGAAAGATGCCATCCGAGCCGACAAGCTCCTGATCAATTCACCCTGACCAGCTGAGGTAATTTAAGAAGAGAATTCAAACGCTATTGTGCAGCCTGTTTCTCCTTATTTAATTCTTTGACATGCCAGTGTTGTTGTTTTAAGTTTAGAAGAGTAGTGTCCGACACAGCAATAACCATGTCACTGGCAATGTGTATGTTGTGAGATGAAAACAAGTCTTGTAGGACCTCATGAAAGTTGAGAGCTCAAGTTAGGATGACTCAGTAAGAATTTTGAGCAAGTTAGATGGATTGTCATACACTTCAGGCAGCCCTCATTAGATTGGGTCTACGCAAACTGGTAATGAGGTAAAATCACTGGCCATCTTGCAGGGACTTATCAATGGGCCACTTTGGCATTTGACTTGATGAAATCCAACAAAGCCTCTGTCAACTAAGTCAAGTCAGCTCAATCAAGCAGTGCAAGAATAATCACCCAGAAAAGAAGACTTCTGGATTGCATGATTGTGCTACACTTCAATCAAAGATGGCAAGCTTCTTGATAACAAAAACAAACATGTAGATCAGGTATCGCATCAACAGTTGCACTGCAGCTTGTTTCTACCTTGAAGTTCATCTACAGAAAATAAGATTTTTTTGTCCATATCAGTCCAAAAGAATTGAGAAATTTATCAAATTAGAGAACATGCCATTTTACTGCAGATCTGTTTTCTGGCAACACTCAGTCTGTCCATGACCTGTTTATTTTGGGCAATCAAGCCAATTTTAAGCAATTCAATCAATCACATTACATGGGCAGTTGGAATATTTTGCCAACTTAGCACTTTTCTCTAAACATACACCTAAAAAACCAATCATAGAAGATTTGAACATCTCACCTCACAGGTTTTTCAAGCACTTGCACTCTCAAATCCAAAAAGTAGCACTTTACCAGACACCTTTCCATTGGCTAGTGCAAATCTCAATCCAAAAACTGTCTTTGTCAATATCTTGGCAAAAGTACCAAAATACTATTTGACAAAAGGAGTTAGAATGTTATTAGAGTGCATGAACAGATCTCTTCAATACTACTTCCACAGATAACTTACCTTTACTTTTCCAAATCTGGGCTTGATCTGCAGCAGAGAGAAGCTGTCTTAGGGTGAGCGCGTCAGAGCTAGTGACATCAAAGGAATTCCTGAGCAAATTGAAGTTGATTTCATATCCCGGGGGGTTGACTCTCAAGGTGTGAGAGGTCTCTTGCATGGTTTGAATGGTGGCCGTATGGTTAGAATGCCCAGCGGCCATCTGCATTGCACCATTCTTGACTAGTTGACAGACTAAGAAGATTGAATCCTGGACAAAGTGTGGGCTGATGTCCTTGAACATCATTTGAAGTGAGATCATTGCGTTAGAATTGGCCTTCTGATCTTGGGCAAGGTCGCCTACATGACTTTTACCACCGGCGTTGCTGACATAAGACATCGACATATGGTGGAGGTGTCTCGATTGAGTGGGAGTTGAGTTCTGAGGCAAGCCCATATGGTTGAGGATGATACAAAAATCTTCGGTGAGGAATCTGCTATTACTCTTACTGTAGAGTGAAAATTAGTTTGTAATTTCATCTTTAACCTTTCATAGCCTTGAGAAGTCTGTCTCAGGTTTGATCGGTTGCCCGAGTTGGAACTCTTCTAGAATGTCCTGGACGGCATTGATGGCCGGATCCTCTGGTGTCGATTGGTCCGGATCAAACACTAAGTTGATCAATGGTTCATCGTTCTCGTTAAACTCGTCAAAGGAAATAAACATATTCAATTTGGCGGCCAAATGTCTGAGAAATTTTCGGTCTTGTGCTGGGTAACATGCTTCGAGAGCTAATGTGGTATCGTATTTGCTAGGAGGGTTGAGATTGGATTGGACGAATTGTTCGATTTTTGAAAAAAGAGAGGGTTGCTGGTCGCCTTTTTCTTGGACTTCCCATGAGATGAACGTTTGCTTTCGATCCAGCTCGAGTGGGCGCATATGTGCTCAAAACTTTCTTGTTAATATATAATTGAGTCTTGTAGAACTAGCTGTAATTGTTTGGTGTGAAAGGTATAGAGTCATTTAAATAACCTCCTGCTTTTGCCGAGACCTTCTTGTAAATACTAGACACCCCTCATTGAGTCCCATTGGAAGCGAAAATTGTTGGCGAGGTCGATAGAGAAAGCATTATTTTCTCCTTGCTCAAGAGAATCTGAGAGTCTGAGCTCCATGTAGGATAAGCTTCGGATCGGGGCTGGTTGTTATGCTTGAGGGGAACTGATGACTGAAGCTGTTCCTAGCCGCTGGACGATGGCGACGTTGGCAGGGCTTTAGAACTTTCGGAAGGACCTAAGTAACTTGGTACCAGGCTTCCTGGATCGTTACAGACAGCAGAGTTGATCAGAACTTCGCGTAATTTGGCCAATGCTACCGCGATCACGGCGACAGCAATCCAGATTGCCTCCAACCACGACACTCGAGCTGAATGCTTAACAACATTGTTATCTTGGGGTTTGAACATTAGATAATCTTCGAATTCGCCGAGATTTCCACATCACAATCTTGCCTTTGATGGATGACCTTGATGAACTCGCAGAAAGCATTCGCCTTTTCTAGCAACTCGAGTGGGGTGAAGACCTCGACTAGTTCAGTCATCAGACGTGTTGGACAGCCAAGGTTTGAGTGCCAATCATTGAACTTGGGTCAGTGGTCATGAGGTCAATGATTCGAACGAGCAACGTGCTAACATCAACTTTGAATTTAGATATTAACGCATCACACATCAGTCCATCAATTCTTCAATTCCCAGCAACTCTCTCGACCGAAGGATGAACCTCATCGGATAACCAGCTTGGAGGGTGCTGCAGTGATTTCCGGTATTGTTTGTCCAGGCACAACGGTCGGTCGTATGCAACAATAAACTTCAGGTAGCGCTTTGTTTGTCATACTTGAACAGTATCAAACTGTGCTCGCCATCCGGTATGAACGTACGGTTGAATGAGAACAGCGGTAGGTAGGCAGAGGCAAACGGCTTGTCCACGTGCTTTTGTTTCGGGTCGATTTCTCTAGGGGAAGAGCAGATGTCAGATTTCGATGGTCTCTGAGCTGATATCCAATGTCATCGGCTCACCCCAAGCTGGGGAACGAAAAAAAAAATACAATAAGGATCTGAAAGCGCCGACACTGAGGTTACGGAAGGTCATTATAAGTAACTTACAGTCACCCCGGATAGACTACGTCTGGAAAGCCCAATCTAGAGGTCACTAGAACATCGCTGAGCATTATGTTATTTTCCTCGGGGCGTTCATTTACGAGTTGATCAGCCGGAACGACGACAAGGGCAGGATTATTAGGATGGTGAGGAAGAGGATTAGGATTATCGACTGCAGCATGGTTCAGCGTGTTTTCGACGCGAAGTTCGCGATCCGGAGGGGTTGCGATATTCGATGCCGCCCCCGAGATATCCCCCCGATCTCGTCGACCCGCCCCAGCTGGCCCATCGCCAGTCTTTCGAAGCTAAGGCTCGACTCGCTCGATCCACCCGTTGGCTTGGATCTTCCACTGCTCCCTCTCCTCCTTCAGTCGTCCCAGCACTCGCTGCTCCTGCTTCTGTATCCCCCGTCCCCATGTTCGTTGTCGTTGCCGCCATACTACTGCTCTCTCCTTCCGCTCGGGTACTACACACCTACATATCAAATCACAATCCTTTAATCAGCTTCTTATTCTGTTTAACTCTAAATCAATAATGATATATTAACAAACACAGGTCATGAATCAACACAGATCATGTAACAAACCAAAAGCGATGACCATGTTGCCATGCGCGACTCTGACAACTTTTAGAGAATTATTTAGCCTTACGACACCGTCTGCATTTAGCAAATTCTCTGGGCACCAATTCCCATCTTCCACATTGCATATTAGTGCACTGCCGGATCCCACCGCGGGTCTCGTCCTTACGACAAGCATTGCGCATGATCACCCCAGGCCAATACTAGATTTCGCCGGGGATAGTAGGGCTGTGGACGTCGTGTGGGAGACGTTGATGGGTGAAACGTTCGACATAAGAAAACACGTTCGAGGCGAGTGGGTTGATAGTGGAGGACGATGATGATGGTGATCCTGTCAAAGATCCAGCCGGGTTCGACAGCTGAGCCCGGGCATGGTTATACATCATCCGAGCTGAGTCTAAATCCTGGATCTGGTGGGCATTGGACCCCGGATGGGAGGCATAGTACTGATTGTGAGAGCCGTGTGAGGGGGCGACTTCGGGCATGAGATTGGAGCCAGATTGTCCGAGCACAAAACTGGGCTGTCGTAGCATCTGGGGAACTGTGTTGACCATAGCCGATGTGCTGGACAGGGCTACCCCACCAAGCAGTAATGCGGGTCGCAAAGGGTCAGTCCCAGAGTCATTAGAGGGCGCTTGGTTAGCGTTAGGCAATGATGGATCATGAGTTCCCCGGCCTAACCGGGCTTCCTCCAAGGCTTCTTCTACTTGCATCCGCGCTCGCATTATTGAAGAAGGATAGGAGCAATGAGGATAATGAGCCTGAGAAGAAGGCCCACGAAGATCCTTGGATGAGCTGACTGGATCAGCATCGGGTAGTGAGTGTTAGTCTTGTGCAGATGCAGGACGTCGGCGCGAGCCTTGGATTCCAGTTCCGCTGGAGAATTCTTTGCCCCGTTCACGCTCGTACCGCTCGCTCTTGAAGCGCCCGCTAAATTCGGCCAAAGCCCTTGTCGCGTCTTACATGGAGCCGTAGGTGAGTTCGAGGGTCGATCGATTCGCAGGCTCATGGAAGTATGCCCGAAGGTGTGCTTACTTGGACAGGTATGCTAGCAATTGAAGTGCCAATAGTACATCCTCATCTCGAAAGGCTAGAGTGACTGGTGAGCTGAGACTGATTGATCTTCCGGTCGCGCCGTAGCCGCATTGGGAGCGACGTGATCGACCACGTTAGCAGTCGGAGCTGGTGCGGTTGTAAGAGGAGCGGGTTGACGACGAGTGGTGAAAGTGCGCGCGAGGGCGGCACCTTCGGTCTCTGATAAGACCCGGGAGAGCTAGCCAGGATCAACGGGGGTATTTTTAGTTTCAGGAGAGGCGGTCATGGGTACGTCTTCAGAGACTGGGCCGACGGCGCTTGCAATAGCAGATGATGATGATGATGATGATGATAAGAGTCGAGTTTGCGCATGAGGGCGACCAGGGCCAGAGTAGGGAAGACGAGCATGACGAAGCGGGAGGTGCCTGATGATTGGCAGCATGAATGATGGCAGACCCTCCATGGGACTTGACTGGGATTGAGTGTTCAACGGTTGATTCTCGTGATCCAGCTCGGAGAGATTGGGGCGAGGTGGGGCTAGAGGAGTGATGTGAACGACCTTGTGTGCGTTAGCTTGGCTGGCTTTGATGGTATCTCGTCAAGAGCGCTGTCGGCCATTACTGGGTCCTGCTTCGTCATCATCAACATGTTCCATGACTACGTCAGCTTCGCTCCCGTCGGCTGCAGATTGCTTGTCCTTCTCGACTGAGACTCTAGTAGTGTGTTGGTGGTTAGGGCTCCCACGATCAACCGTTTTGTCAGACTGGTTCAGGATGATCGAGGGTGGAGGAAGAGGTGGAACCGTCGTTACGGAGGATAGCTTGCTGGTTGAGGTGAAGACGAGAGGTCTCGAGAGAAGATGAGGAGGAAACTGGTGAGGGAGAGATGCCACCGGTTCTGAGAACGGGGTCAGTGGTTGAGTTGATCGGGATGGGGCTCCTTGTGGCTGGACGGGCAGAATTGAGGAGATTGATATCAAGATCATTTGTGATCATTTGTGCAGGGTTGTTCGGACTCGGGGCGGGGTGGTTGTGGATGCGAGCTGGTTTGTATGGATGTTGGTTGATTGGTGGGGTTGGTGACTGTTAAGTTAAGCGACAGTGATGGAGATAGAGAGTGCTGCGTGGATTGTAATTATTGGTGGTGGTGGTGGTGGTGATGCTGGCAGGGAGATCTGAGAGGGCAAGTTGAGAGGAGGGGTTTTGAATGGGTTGGACGAGGGTCTGAGAGGAAAGGACGTGGCGAGGGGGTCGGGGTAAATCAGCGTTTAAGGAGTAAGACCTTTGAGAAGAGGATTCAAGGGTGCCAGAATGACCAGTTGAGGCAGCTTCGAGTGCGACCTTCTTACGGGCTCGTTCCTTGTTGGCCGCTTCTACAAAAGTCTCCTCGGAAGGGCCGGATTTTCCAGGTGGGCAATTTCGGTCTTGGCCATGCACAAGAGAGGCTGTCAACCGAGGCTGACCTGCTTGGGCATTAACAAGTCTGGCTATGTCAGGAGATGTAAGCAGTTCGTCGACCATCTGATCAACCGGATCAATTTCACTTGACTGTTCGCAGTGTATGAGGTATCGATGCCAGATACTACAGGCGGGAGCGGTTCTTCCGAGCCATAAGATCGGTCAACGGCATCGTCTTCATCGTCCTGGTAAGTTGGTTAGTTCTGCTTATTGTAATAGCGAGAAGCAAGGTCGTGCAGTTTTGTCGTGGTCGATGGACCTTGCCAAAATTCAGAGAGATGTGGTTGATGCTCAGGGCTGGGATGGCCAACCAACGCTTGAGGGGTTTCGTCGAGGTCGATGGACCTGGCCAAAGTTCAGATCAGATAGATGTGAGTTCTTGCCATTTAAACTCCAGGACGTCCTTGACGACGCTACCAGCGCCTACTCGGGCAGCTCAGAGCAGACGGTACTCGTCGATCTTGATCACAGTTTTCGGGTTCAGAGACGTAACCGGAAGACTGTTGAGTGAGACGTAACCGGAAGACTGTGGAGTATGAGGGGGGGTGGGGCTTCGGGGGCCGCCAAGTCTCTGCATCTTGAGCACACCATTCGTGGGTCAGAGCCAGACGGCTTGAAAGGAGACGATGTAACTAGAGTGTTGCGCGTAAGAACATCAAAGACGTTGCTGGGCGCGCCTTCTGATTCATCTGATTGAGCATTTGAAGAAGTGGTGCGGGGAGTCGAAGGTTGGGAGGCGGTCGAGGCGGGATGGGTTGATTCTCGTCACTTGTACGCTTGGTGCCAGGCTTGTAGTTAGCTTCAAGGGGATTGGAAAGGGTTGGATTGAGCAAAGGATGCATGGGAGGTAGGATACGATGGGTATCTGCAGCTGATAGCAGCTGCCATTTGACTTTGAGGACCCCGGGCGCGCTGTGGGGTAAATGAGATTCAAGAGCCTGGGGTTGAGTGTGATCCAGTCGGTGCTACGGTAGATGGCTGGTTGTTGGTTGTTGAGCGAGATGGCTGATTTGGAGTGGAAGGTGCCGATTTGAAGGTGATGAAACCCAGCTTGCCGCTTGACAGCTTCGCTGTGTCTAGGAGCAGCTGCCAAAGATTGTAAGTCGCTCTCGCCACTGGCAGCTGTCAATAGTAGATCATTAATCAGCAATTGTTAGGCTGGAGCGGGGAACAAGGCTGAAGACTTTACTCACGACGAGAAGATGGTTCTCTCTCTGAGTCATTCTGGTCCGTTGCGCCATGTAGCATCTAGTGTCCCGCAATCAATGACGGCCCAATTGCCAGTGTCCAAATTCTCCACCTGGTCAAGCGAGAAAAAAATTAGCAAAATGTAAGATGCCCCGAGAAGACAGATAGGTGATAGTCTCACCTATCAGTCCCTTGGTCAACTGCACCATCCAATTTCTTGGGCCATGCGACATGTATTGCGATCATAAGATATTCGGCTTGAGCTGCAGGGGCCGGAAGACTCTTGTCCTCTTCGCCTTTGCCTTTGGTTCTCCCCCTCTTCATCATCTGCATCAGCCTCGTCATTTGCATCAGCCTCGTCATTAGTAACTGGAGTAGTGTTGGAATCATCGCCCAAGGTATAACTGGAGTAGTGTTGGAATCATTGCCCAAGGTATTCTCTGTCCCTTCGGCTTTTGGACCCGACTCCTGTTTAATTTTGTCTGAAAAGAATAAAATCAAAAAGCGATACATCTGACAGAACATCAGCCTACTGAGAATTGTTAGGAGCGCCTTCGGGGGGTTGAGAATTTGTTTCCTGTTTGGGCATTTTTGAGCTGTTCTTGATTGGGAGATGGAGATTTGGTGGGGCTCGAACCGGACCGGTCATGACGGAGGGGCCGGATACAGAAAGTTTGCGTTTGCCAGCCGCTGAGCCTGATACGGGCTTGTTGGAGTGAGTGGTTGAGGTGTGTATATTTATGCCTTCGCTGGAAGGTGAAGAGAAATACGTGCAGAATCGAAAGTTTTCTTTGGCGTTTGAAGTAGAAGATTCAGAGGCCGGTTTGAACCGATCGCGGAGTTGAGCTTACGGGACATCGAGAGGCTGGGCGACGGTAGGTTGTGACTCTGAAGCTACTGTGACAATGTGAAGGATGCCATTCTTCTGACGTCCTGGCTTTTTCTTGCAGGCTAGTGGTGATCGTGTTGTTGGCCATTGCGACAATACCATCCGATTTGTTGGCTGTCCATGACCATGACAGATTAGCTATCTCCAATCCCTCAATGCGGAAATCGGTCATGGGGCGTTTCGCCTCTGCAGCTGCGGTGAGAACCAATACTCAATACAAGTCAGTAGGCGAATCATTCTAGATGTTTCAAAAATTAATCACTAAAGAAATGCGTCATACTCTATTCATTTTTTTGCCCGTCCTTTTCACAATCATGGAATTCTTTCGACTGGACAACCCAGCCGTTCTTGGCGAGAGCTGCTCGGACCTGCAGCTGGGTTGGTCTTATCAGCAACAGGTCCCAAGCTTGCACCTGGTCCACCATCTCCTCCCACCGGTTCCCATTCTTGCTGTCTTCGAGCTTCGGATCAGGACCGTTTTTCCTTCGGCCGCCTCTGCTTCCAGAGGCTCGGTCTCCCATGCCACAAGTTTAGAAGTTGATGCGAGGGTTTTGACTGGTAACACTTGAAAAGGATTGGTCCCAAGGGCGGGATGGCGTACAAGAATCACGAAAGGTCTGATGGGCAAAATGTTAGCAACGAGGCTTGACGTTTCAAAAAGGGAGAAAACTTGGGTCTTAAGAAACACTCACAGAAATAACAAGGGGTGGTGCGGTAATAATAAGCTGAATGCACTAATGATCGAACGGAGGTTAGACCAGATTTTTTCCTTTTGAAATAATGAATGGCTCTGGTCGGAATGAAGCGGGTTATTCTGGTCGGGTTGAGCTGGCCAGTATGAGAAAATTTGATCGGAATATCGACGACCGTCGTCTTGAAATTCCAAATATGAAATCCATCTTCAGGCTGGTTCTGGTAAGATTGGGGCGAACTGAGCCGATACATGGCAGGTAAACGGTGGTAAGAGGCCTATCTGAGCGAGGATGTCGAGGAGTCGAGAGTCTGAATCACGATCAGGTGTGTTCTAAGATTCCGTTGATGTTTGAGGAAGAATCGCCCCTGGGTCGGAATGTCGGAGCAAAGATGATGATTGATGACTGTCCCCGCTGGCCGCGAACTTGAGAATGATGGTGATTGATGACTGTCCCCACTGACTGTGAACTTGAGAATTTCGTGGACGGAGCGCTTGAGGGTGGAAGAAGACGAATCTGACGGAGGCCAAGCAAACCAAAATTGACCATCAAGTCCTGTATTCATAATTGATCACAAAATTTCCTTTTGCTATCAATATGGCAAAGTTTATGAATCGTGCAAGAATGACAGAACTCGAAGGATTACTGACCATGTTGGCCGGTTTATACGCTCGTCGTTTCCTATGCCTGCTCACTTGATACAAAAGTCTTCTTGGGATTTGGGGATGATTCCCCAGATGGAGAAAGGAGGAAATAATCGAGCCATGCTATGTTGATCGATCCAAGTGCCCATGGGTGTCCAAAATATAGCCAATCAAGTCCATAATTAGGGGTTTTTTGTTGCGTTTTTGGATCCTTCGATCGCCTCGGTCACGATGCTCAAAGCCAGCCCTTCGCGGGTATCGTATGGTAGTCTTGAGTAGGTAGTGTTCGGTTGGACTGGTTCTTCGATGTGTGGTACAGATCGGTAAAATTGCAGGGATCGGATTTTTATCGTGACTATGTAGGACCACGGAAGGTATTTCGGGTAGAGTCTGCGGATGTGCTGCGGCTAGTCTCAGGGATGTAACACGTGTGTTACAACACTTGTTGCTAGCAGAGTAGTAAATATAGAGTGTGTGCACTGGATTCCTTGAAGCCACCCCTCGGATAGCTGAACCCAAACCTTTCCCAGCAAAATTTTCCCTCAGCTAAGACTGCCGGATTCAATTCGCTGCAGCCGTAGTCGTGCTGAACCCACTGATAAGCCTAACTTATCAAAGTCCCTCTGAAGTCGGAGGGGGGATGTTGCCGTCCCGCAGGGACCCTCCGAAGGAGGCCGGTCGGCGCAATGCGACCAGTGTCTCACCACTCCGTCACCACAGTGTCTCACCATACCATTCCGGATTCCTTGAAGTAAGCCTTCTCCTCCCTCAAACAAGATTAAAAGAAATCTTATAGTTCTTGTTTCCCCTTTTTCTTTTCCTTTCCACTCGATCTTAACTCTCATAAAAAAAATCAATTATAAAAATTAAACATTTATTAAATATAAAATAATCCCATAAAATTTAAACTACTGATTGGGTTTGATTCTAATAACCCATCCATGTCTCTTGACTGGATAAAAAATTATCACAATCAATACATATCTGATTGATCCTATTCCTACCTTCCAGGAATAGAGGCCTAGGTGTTCCTTTACTGGCTATACTTATTCTTAAAGAATATAAATTTAAATAAAGAAATAAAGAAATAAAAATCTATCTCTTATTCTCTTCTCTTCTCTTTTTCCTATCTCTTTGTATCTAGTCTTATTTATAGTAGTAATATATTTTATTACTACTACCAATTTTGTCCAGCTTGATCTCTATGTGAGGTTGACAGCTGACAGGCACACACTTTGCCAAAAGGGGTGCTGTCAACCTTACTTGGCAATACATCTGTGTCCTCTTGTCCTGGTGAATACCTTAGGTAGGAGAGGCCCTGCCACCAGTGCAGGCAAGATTTTCATTACACAAAGATGTAGAGGCATCTGGTCAACCAATTTTATGTTTTGAAGGCCCCAGAAGGGCTAGAATTGAAGCATGTACAAATTTCTAATGTGGTACTGATTGAATGTGATACAAGCCTGGATTCAAGCCTTTTTTCTACTTTATATTTTCTTTTTTATTTCAGATAAGATAAGTATGTTGAGCGCAGGAATAGGCACAGGTGAGAACAAGAAAGGAAGCTCTCAATCCATCATTTGGTCAGTGTTGCCAATCTGAGACATCTACAGAATTTCCCAATGATGACACATGTGAGATGGCTTGCAAATTGATCAAGATGGAATATGAGGTGTCAAGGAAAAGTGAAACTACTTACAACTGAGTTCAATCTTACAGCACAGCATGTTGCTTTAGCTATTCCAAATGTGCCAGGTGGGTTTTCCAATATGACAGCATGCCCCAAAATTTCAGTCTCATCCAGGACTATGGTCTTTTCTGTTTTGGCATTTAGCAAAACTGCATTAAGATGGGGAAATGGAGCATAGATGTCTTGTTCTTTTGGAAGAGGATCAAAAAGTTTGATGACAAAGAATTTATGTTCTTGAGCAGTGGATGTAGAAAAGATGATTTCGATTTGACCGACAGGATAGCCATCGTTCTGCTTAAAATAGATTGTCGAATTACCATGATGCTTACCAAGGACGGAATATCTCTTTTTGTGCAATTCTGCAGATTGAAAGTATAGAACCTGAGGTGAGTAACGTGTAGTGGAAGTATCAAAATACTGTTGAGACTGGGGAAACCGTTCGAGCCATTTGGTGTAGTATTCTTCTGGAAGACTTTTTGGGGGATCGTTTTTGATACAATCTGGCTTCTTCTTAAGTAAGAGGTCTACTAGCTCAGATGGAATCTTGTCATTCATCTTTGGCTGTCCACGAATCAAGGCAATGAAATTAGCTTTCATGCTCCATCGGGTGAAAATAGTGGTAGGCAGTTCGGCTGCGATGAAAGTAGCAATCAGCTTGTGTATATTTCCTGTTTTTTTTTTTTTTTCAGAAAGGTGATAGCTTACATAAATGATTGTTGGTGGATGTTTTACCCAAACTCCCATTGAGGCGTTCTTGAGCCCATGAAGCAGTGGATGCTGGTGGACCAAACCGACGAGTAAGCTCAGGGAAGTGTTGTGAAAGGTGTATGTTGGGCTTAGGATTCAGGTTGTCAGTTGACCAATGTTCAATCAATAATGTCCGGTAGTGTTTCATCAAGTCGGAAAATTGTAAAATTTCTTTCTCTGATATAGATCTTGCACTTAGCAAATTGGTGATTCCAACAAGACTAGTCAAAGACTCCAGGAGAGCTTTGCGATTAGGATTTGCAGAGCTAAAAGTCCATAGGGGAACAAGAACGAGAGGGAAATATACACAGCAAATGACAAGCCATTCAGAGGCCTTGAGTGACTTGTTTCCAGAAGACCCAAACTCCTTCGGAACTCGGGTAACAGTCGAGGGCAGTCGAACTTTTGCTATGGCAGCTTGAATGGCCTCAAGCTCTTCATACAACAACTTGGGACCATCAGCAGTTTTCTCCTCTTTGGTGTTGCTGATAACTTTTTGATGATTGGTACTGGAAAGCCTTTTTTTCATTGGCACGGTTTTTGTTGGGGTGATTGAACCAGTTTCGGTGACAGCATCGCTGGAGAGATGGTGATCTGGAGGACTAGGAGTTGAACTTTGTGAGAAATTTGAAGTGCTCACTGCGGACGAGCTGGGCAAAGCTTTGGAGGTGGTTGAACTGGCCATACTGGATCCACAGGGTTGTAGGCTGGAGTTGGTTGATGAGTGATTGCTGCAATTGGACTTCCGGCTGGTAGTGTCATGCGTGGAGGAGGAGTGATCAGACATTTCACAGTCTTGAGCGGAGGAGGAATGATCAGACATTTCACAGTCTTGAGCAGAAGAGTTGATTTGCATTGGCTCTGGAAGCAGCGGATCCAGTGATGCCCTTGTCAAACGTTTTGGCCGCAACGATGCATTATTTGTGGATTTCAAAGGAGTTGGGATTGAAACCTCTTTGGACTTCATCTTACAACGGCTTTCTTGAGTTGGTTGTTGAGGGCTAGAGATTTTGGCAGCAATTTCCCTACTTGAACGCAAATTGTACGGGTGTTCTGTAGGTTTCTTGGCAGTCCGTAGTTTAGTTGCCCGTGATGCATTCGGTTGTTTTTTTTGTTTGGAAGTTGATGCCGCAAGTCTGGGAAGTGGATTGATTGGCCGCTTGACTTTTTTTTTGCTGTTCTCATAGGGATTGCTGCCGTCTAGGTTGATGTCGGGGCCATTGTTTCGGGAGCGTTTCTTTACCCGAGGCGACAAGGATTGGCTCTTCACTAGGTGAAAAACGTCATCTATGCTTGTCCGTAGGCACCACCGTATCCTTCGTTCTTTTGCATTCTTGAGAAGCTTTCCAGCCTTCGAGATGTCCAAGTAGGACAAGCAGAAGTCTTTCAAGTTTCCAAGTAGAATGCAATGCATGAAATCAATGCTACAATACTCAACCGGGCGCCAATAAGGAAGTGCATTGAGGATGCTATATCGTACACCATGCTCCTCAAAAATCAGTTCCCGCTCAAAGAGTGTTTTGGCTTGAAGCCATTTCAGCGCGTGGGATAGATGATCTTCATCGTTACGAGGCGGAAATTCTGATGGATCGAGACAGTCGATTTCATCTTGCTTCAACGTGCAAAATGAACAGAAGTGTTTGCCTGAGTGACTGGAGTGACCGGCAGTTTTTCGCAAGGCGGGTAGATCTGCAATGAGTGGGAAAATAACGGCTTTGATCAGACGACCTTCCGGAGCTTTGGAGGTTTGGCTGAACCAAACCCCATCTTTGAAAAGTAGAAAGTCATCCACAAGTGGTTTCAAAAGATGATTGATTTGGTCGAGGGATGGTTCTTTTGGTCCTGGAATGATGCCATAAAGGAACATGTTTTCTTCTCGATAGCGATCCCAAGGAGGTAAATTCAAGCATACAAGAGCGATTGTGCCAAGTGATACATGTTTCTTCTTGCCATGGTAGGGATTGAACCAATCGACAAACAAGCTAAAGACTAGATTTCCACTAACTCTTGTATAAATTGAGCCAGGATTTGACGGATCTTCAAATTCGTTCCATACTGAACCATCCCAGACATCATGCATGTAATTTGCTGGCGACCATGGCGGCTGAGCTAGAGGTGAATCAATAAGTTCTTCAAAATCGGAACGCCAAAGCATACGACCAAGCCAACTTTTGAGTGACTGGTGGGCATAGACCTTATAAGGTTTTTCGTCCAAATGGGTGCGTGTGTGGAACAGTTTCGTAGAGCAGACAGGAATTTGATTGGACTTGAGGTATCGCTTTCCTGGTAAATATATCTCAGAAGAACAGTTTGCAGGTGGGGTACTAGTCGAGGTTTCTAGTGGTGCAATGCGGAGATGAGAGTCTGTTGAGACTCTTGAGGATGTTATTGCGGGTATTGTTTCTGAACTAGGTATTGACATTGATGTTGATGGTCCCGCTTGTAATTCAGGGTTGCAAGCAAGAGATATTTCCAGGTTTTCAGCTTGTGAATTTGGAATCAACGGTGGAGATTTGGTATTGTTTGTGGGTGGTTTAGCCGATCTGTCGATTTTTGCTTTCACTGGGGCTGGATACAAGGCAAAACAACTAGGGCAACAAATGGAGCGAATGACATCGGGAGCCAAACCAAGTTGTGCAAGGCAAGTATTGATGGTGCTGGGAATCAGATCTGAAACAGTGCTTGATGAGAAGTTCAGCTTTGCTTTGGCCTGTTCAATTTTCAGAAAGTTGTTGGTGTCCTTGTTGCTTGAACGTGTCAAAAGGGATGCCGAAAGTGCTTGTAGAATCACCACAAGAGCGTAGGGATTGAGGTATTGAAGCGTAACTGGTGCCCATCGCGAAGTGTCAAGTGTCTGGGTGCGAGTGGAATGTTCTGGAGCGTCCATCGTAGCAGAGACATTCACAACAGCAGTTTGAGAAATTTCCATGTTGGTGGATGTCATAGAGGCCTTGGTGATACTGGGTTGATTGAGGGATGAAGGAACAACCTGTTCAAATACAGGATCAACCTGTTCAAATACAGGAAGAATGATTTCAGCTTGAATGATCTCCTCCATAACATTAAAGATATAACTCACTGGCAAGCCTAATTGGTTGGAATTTAGAATGATTTCATCAATTTTTTTTTGATGGGCTCGGAAGGTAGATGCACACATTCGTTGGCCTCGATGAACTGTACCACCAAGCTTGTACGATTTAGCTTGGCAACCTAGCTCGGTGCAAGTGCAACTGATGTATTGGACGGTCATGATTGATTTGTTGGCAGCTTGGAACCAAAAGACAAAAAGTATGTCAATGATTAAAATCAGACAAACAGCTATAGATTAAGAATTTCAGTTCAGAAAAAGGTGGCTCAACATTCCCGGTGATGATTTGATCTGTGGTTTTTGTCATATTTCAAGGAATTGTGATTTCATTTCTTTGTTAGATCTTCTTTCTTATTTAAGTTTAAAAGAGATTGAGAGATTTAGTACCTGCAAGCTGAATGACAAGTCGCGCTCCTGAGATTTTTAGAGAGAAAGATATGACGGAGATAGGATCGACAATGGTCAATCTTCACTTGAGTAAGCTGACTTCTTGATCCACAAGTTTAAGATGGGTATTGCGCTCCTTTTTCTTCAGTTTTTACTGTTTCAAAAAGGTCTGTAGGACATGATCACAGGTCAGTCTCTTGTTTATTTATTGTTGATCATCTAGTAACTCGCCTGAGGTTCTTTCTATGATTCACTCCAATAGACTTGCTTATTTGACTTCGTTGGTTTGGGCCTTCTTCGTTGCAGTGGATGGTTCTGCGTAACAAAATTAAACTGTTTAGCATTTTCTTCTCCTCTGGCCTTTGGACCACAAGCAGGGCATGCATATGCTTACCTTGCGCCACCACTAGGGCAGATCACTTTTTGATACTTGTTGATGATTTGAAGAGGTAGGAGATTTTCTGTGGTTTCGACCCTTGGAGGTAGGAGACGTCCTGTGGTTTTGATGCTTGTGATGATTTGAAGAGGTAGGAGACGTTTTGTGGTTTGGATGCTTGTCTAGGCTTATGCTGAACCCAGTCCCCCTTCATTGGGAAGCGACCGTGTGGTCCGAAGGAATGACTTGCGGGCTATGTCACCCCCCACGGCCAATATCTTTCATGTGACCGGCGCGTTTGCAAGCCTTTTGGGTGCTGGTTATGATTGCCATGATGGCCTCACCCATGCGCATGCAACCATCAACTTGACCAGCCTTCATCCATGATGGTTGCACATCAAAGCTGCCATCTGGATTCTGTCCATCCAGAACCCAGCGTAAGGGTCTCACTGACAGTCCGGCAGCTTACAGGGGAGCCGTATCCACCGATACACAAACAATGGTGTTACACTTGCAGTAACCCATGAGTTGCATCACATTCAATTGAATCAAATTCATAGCTCATGCATTCTTGGGTCAGAGTTGAGGCGATGTAATAAAAAAGACTTGTCGAGGAGACACAAGCAAATAAAAAAGACTTGTCGAGGAGACACAAGCAACTTGAGTTGTACCATGGTTGGAGAAGCAGAATGAGGGAATCGTGTACATAAGGCTGGATTTGTAGAGGGGAAACGTACAACATATCTCGTTCAATTGTATCACATTCATAGCTCATTTATACTTGGGTCAGAGTTGAGGCGCGGTAACAAAAAGACTAGGGAGACATAAGGAACTTGAGAACGTTGGAAAAGCAGAATGAGGGAATCGTGTAAGGCTGGATTTGTAGAGGGGGAACTTCTGTCAAGAGATCGCAAAATCTGGGGAAAATAAAGGATTTGACACCAGCACTATACATATGTATGTACATCTACGTTCAACGCTTATAAAGATGTCGGAGGTTTCGCAATTACGACTACCGAGGTCTCCATTCTGTGGATTATAGATTCAATTCGGTATCTTCGGAGGCGCAGGCGGAGGAGCTCAGATCGAAGTTTTTTGTACTGGTGGTCACAATCGATCTTCTTCAGAATCGTTGCAATGTATTGATCTATGTCCAAATAATTATCGGGCCGTTGGTGTTGAAGAATGGCTTTTGCAACAAGAGACTCGTATAATCGAAGGCTTTGGGCAGCTTCTTGATAGAACTCGTTGCGTTCAATCGTGCTGGAACACATTATCATTCGGTCCTCGAAACTTAAGTCCTCCAACATTTTCTTCGTGATCGGCTTCAGGTTGGGATAAAATTGATCGAAGCAGGTAATACGATCGACGGATAAAGTGAGGGTGGGCGGGTGTTTTGCACTAAGGTCATCCAATCTAGTCGCCAATTGGGTGAGTTGTTCTTGGACTTCTTTGAGTTTGGCTAGGATTTTGTTAACGATATAAGTTATAGACAAAATCTTATTAATCAAGAATAAGATCTGTATGAACATTGATCAAAACCTACTTTTTTCCATTGTCGATGTGCTGTCTCCTCCAGTATGTGAAGTCTGGGTAAGTTGATTGGTAGCCATCCTGAATGGTTTAAAACAGGAGCTACATCAACTCATGCAATATGATATAGGAGGCGAATAAGACTTACAGCAGCTTGAAATATGTTTTTAATCTTGCAAGGTCTTCGGAAGATAAATATTCGATAAGAAACCAGAATATGGATGGTTGGTGGTTTGCTTGTGTGATTATTCGTGTTTTCGGGGGGGGGGGGGAGAAACAATCACCTTTTGTACATTGGCTTCGGATTACATCCTTTGTGAAGTGCCTTTGTAAATTTGGAGTCCGTACAAGACATCCCAGACTAACCTAGCATCCTGATGACTTAGCGCTGCGACCCAGTCGGACTCCAGACGAGTCAGGCTGGGCTAAGGTTTTCGGTCGGTCTGCGGCGACAGCGGGCGACGCTTCTGATTGATCGCGCCATTCCACTCCTCCTCAGCTCCCGCGGTCCACGCCCCCGATCGGCTGAGCTCCTCTTTGAGCAAATCAGCTTGAGCAAATCTCTTGGTTGATCGTGCAACCATTCCGCAAGCCGCAACCATTCCGCAAGCCGATGAGTTTCAAAATCGGCGGCTTTTCTGTATGGCTCTTGAGCCGGTGGAAATTCCTTGTCTCCAATCGGTGAAGGAGGTGGTCTCTAGGTGGATTGACCCCAGCCAAGAAAGTAACAGATGAGCCAACCGCCAAGGCGGCTCAACCAGCAACTCCGGCATTAGATCCACGCATCGATAGCCCTAATGTCGATCAGGACAAGCGATCGGCCAATACTCATAACTCTATGGACAATACCAAGAAAGATGATGAAAAGTCCAAAGGTGTAGCTTCCACCGAGTAGTATGATGAAACTTGACCGACAGGATAGAATTTGAGACTCAGGGGTGAAGTAGCGATAAGACTGGCTAGGGGGGGGGGGGGGGAACAACCCTGTGGGGAAGGTGTCACGTTGAACTCGAGGTCCTACATGTCTTCCAGCTGCCTCCCACGTGCCACAGAGCTCCTCCGGAAGAGGTTTCGTTAAAATACCCAGAGCCTTCAAAACCGGAGTTTTGTCAACGCTAGAGGCGCGGTGGCGAACAGAAGTAGCGACAAGACTGTGCTTTGGACAACTCACACCGCTCGCCGCGCTTCCAGAAAGATAATGCAACATTGTCGAGTTTGAACTAATGATCCCCACATGTGTCGATTTCCCCTACATTTTCGCTCGCCTCGCTTCCAGAAGGATAATGCAACATGTCGAGTTTGAACGAATGATCCCCACATGTGTCGATTTCCCCTACATTTTTGAATTGTGAGTGCATGTTATGTTTGATTGACTTTGCAGGCCATGTAAGTCTAAATAAACTGTTGCGGTCAGTTTCAGGTGGTTTTCCACGGTTCAAATTGCAATAGCCACGACATAATGATCAACCAAGGATGCGATGTATGTGGTGAGGGTAGTGACTAGTGAGTGTGTCATGGGCGATTTGATTGTGAACAAAGCAGTATAAATGAAGCTTTGGAGTCCACTGGAGGCTTCATACCAGGCACCACACCAAAATCACATACATTGATCTATCAAGCTGCACATTTGCACAATCAGAAAAATGACCGTCATTTGCTACCTATACAACTCAAAGGAGGTTGTTGATTACTTACAAGAATCTATTAAAGCTATTGAGACCATGGTTGCCAAAATGGAACCAGAACAACTCCCTTTAGAATATGAGGAAAATCATTTTCAAATCGACTTAAACCATGCTAGAAACATTGAAGATATTCAGGCTAGGATTTCGGGTTGGTGTGCCAATCGCTGTGTCCTACTAGCTCTGGTACCAGATGCTCTGTTGTTTTGGAATCTCCGCAGGATGCAGCTTGGCAGAGGTAAAAATTTGATCCAATCTTTATACAATTAAGTTAACTGACATGATTATGTTAGACCCAGTTCGCATTGAAAACTGGAGATCCGAAGCCGAACGTAGGGAAGCCATAAAGCAACGGCTTATGCACCCTTGAGGTATTGATTTGCATAGGCTGTTGGAATATATGCCATCAAAGGGTATGCGTAAAGTTAAAGGCTCATCTTTTTCAGAGCATATGATGCTATTCAAGGCTTAAATGGATCAATACTGATTTATTCACCTGAATTTTCTCCAGGGCACAACTTCTTTGGCCCAATTCAGCTTTACAAGTCCCCAATGTGATCTTCATTTGATTATCCTGATTTGTCTGTTATTCCATAACCAATCTAGGATCCTTGATAGTATATAAGCCCTTGATTTCTCTGGCAATCCCTGAATGGCTGCATTTTATGGCCCACACTGGCCCTTTGTCTCATTATACCCAGAAGCTGGTTCTGAGGGAAACATTAAAGCAACTTTTTACTGGAAAGGTTCTTGATCTTCCTGTTTGTTACCAGTGATGACTTGTCCTCTACATGAATGCAGCAGAATGGTGATAAACACTTAAAACAAGTCTTATTTTGTGTACAACTTGGCTATGTGGTTATCAAAGCAATTTTAGATAACCCATTCTGTAGATTGAATTTAATCAATACCTGAGAGGCACTGATTTCTTGGAGGGGAAACTTTTGTCAAAAGATTGGGGAAAAAATAAAGCATTGACATATGGCAGGCTTTGTTAGGAGGATTGAACTTAGGCCTTCAAGAAAGGCTTGGAGATATTGGAAGGGAAATGTTGAAAACATAACATTCAACACATCTAATTCTCTGAGTAAGTGATGAACAATACTCAGGTTTTATTCCAAATTTTCACTAGGAATCCTCACAGCAAGATATTAAATTATGTACAAGATTGGAGGGGGCAAATATCAAAGATATAAGCTGAAGAAATAAGTAGTGAAATGAACAATACTACATTTCTATTCAAAATTTTCACTAGAAGTTCGCACAAAAGGCCAAGATATCCACAGGAAATTAAAATATGTACAGCAAATTGGTGTTAGCAGGTATCAAAGTGTAGGATATAATGAAATGAGATAGAACAAAACTAATTTTGATTTGAAATCTGTACTAGAAATTCTCACAAAAAGCCAAAAATATCCACAAGAAATTGAAGTATATATAGCAAATTGAAGTTGGGAGATATCAAAAGTATAAGCTAAATAGATAAGTAGTGAGTATTTTCTATTCAATCATACTGTTCGAGCTTCTAGTTTTTTTCCTGAGATCAGTAAGTGCTGTAGTGAAAGAGTAGGCCAATTCATCATCTTGGATTCCCATTTGTTGACGCTGGAGGAGAGATAATTGGCCAAGAAATTCTGCTGCATAGGCATCAACAGGATAATTCATTGGTACTACCTCGGCTTCAGCTTCCTCGTTGGTAGCTTCTCGCGGTCCACGTCGAGCTAGGCGGCCTGCAATACTTGTCTTGCTTCTTTGAGGTGCTAATTGGATAGTGGCTACATCTATCTCATGTGTCAATTCGGCGAAAACCGCACTTCTCCAGGCGGGGTTGATTCTTCTGGGTGGGATACGGATGTCTTCGTCGCACTCGTAATCAGACACTCCGTTGACGTCTGTAAAGCAGGCCCATATCTCTGGATGGTCGGGAAAGAGAGTCGATGCTGTTTTGAAGCGCAACTCACCAACCTAATAGCAGTCAGCCCACTATTAAGACGGGTAAGGAAAATTTAAGGAAAAACAGGGCAGGAAACTTACTTTTTTGCGGGACTGCTTGCGTTTGGCGTTCATTTGCTCAACAGACGGATCGGTAATGTTGGCTCCATTTTTTCGGAGCGCTTTCCTCTTTGTCTCCTTCTTCATGGTGACAAGCCAACGTCCAATGACGCCCGTAACGTTTATATTGGAATCCTTTGTAAGCGCTCTGGTTTTGGGAGTCCACTTTGCCCAATTCGAAGCGAGAATACTGGCTGTTGCACTGTTCCAGTCGGAATTCTCCAAATCAGGATCGCTCCAGTCGAATGTAATTCGAGGAAACCCGTTGGACTTGAATTCGTGATCACAGGTGTTCTTCACCGTTACCGAGATGTTTGAATTCCTGACCGTTCGAGCCGGAGAATACTTTGTAGGAAGGGCCATTTGCTTGATTCTTTGGAGTTCTTGGGTTACCAGGAACTTTCTCTCCGTCGCATTTTTCGGGTTCTTCCTTTCAATGTAGCGGTCGAGGTGGTTGGTGATTTGCTCCTGGCGATTATCTGCCCAGTGCGTCCAAGTTTCGACTTCTTGGGGTGTTGGTGCCGGTGGGAGCTCGAAATTGCGGCTGGGGCATCCCATCATAAATTTGACAAATTCAACAATAGACCGTGATTCGGTGGACGTGTGAGATGGCAGCTGAGAGGTTGTAGCGACTTCCAGGACCTTCTTTGTTTGTTGTTTAACGATCCGATTCTTTTCGTTTTTCTTCTGGTTTCTTTTTTTTTTCTGCGCGTGAAGCTGTGGCTCAATGTGAGGGTTGTCTTGGATAGTTTGAGGAAGGAAATCACATCAGAATAACGCATTTCTGAAGAACAAACAAAAGAAAGATAATACCTTCTTCATTATCTGATTCATCTGACTCATCTGACAAAGGTGAGAAAAGTTCGGTCTCGCCATCGACTTGATCGTCAAAACTTTGTTCGGTTTGTTCGTAACTGCCAGACGGCGCACCTGCGTTCTCGTCATAATACATGCCTTCTGGCCAGTTCGCGTTGGGGTCCATGGTTGGTTAATGTCTGGTGGAAATACTTAGCTTAAATAATATGATTGTATACTAGAAATGATAGTGGAAAAATTTTAAACTACACGCGCTTAGAGAATAAGAGATAATTAATTCAGCTGTTTCCAGCAAGGAAAAAGATACAAAAGTCGATCAGAGATGGATAGGGTAGGTGGGTGTACAGCAAAATGTATCTACAAAGTATGGCATCAAGTGGGCTGTATGTAATGATGAAGCGATCAAACTAGTGCGCAATGTCAAATCAACTCTGCACTTAAAAAAAAAAAAAAAAAAAAAAAAAAAAAAAAAGAAGCGATCAAACAGCTTTCTTTGCAGAGCAAATACTGCTACTGCGAGCAATCGCTCTATCCCTTTTTGTGATCTTGCTCAAAGGGCAATTCAAACATCCTCCAATTTGTAGCAACCGTTTGGAATTGTTGGGTGGTGGCTTGGCCTTTCCAGTTGCATAATGTAAGTCTCAAAGCCGTTGGAATAATGCAAAGGAGAATCTGAGTGATATCAACACGGTTCAGATTACATAGTTATTTATGTATTTATGAGCAGGCGGAGTACTCACCAGAAAGGTCAAAATTTGAGACGATCGCATTGAAGATTGGCCGATTCTCTCGAGCATCCGATGGAAGAATCTACAATAATCTTTGGGATGTATGCGACTCCTTTCAAGCCCCATCGATCTCTTCCTAGTCATCTGCGTTTGATTCACTTCCAATTCAACTAAATTGTCTTGGAGTTTGGAAACTAGTACCCGAATTTCTGTGTTCGCAAGGGTTTGTTCGACCAGAATTGCCTTTGAAGTGGAAATTTCCGAAAGCAATTCCTGATTCTCTCCTTTGAGTTTTGAGTTTTCGCTGCTCAAAAGGTGACTCTTCAGTCTATACTATATTTACATAAATATGAAGTTTAAAAAGAAAATGGATCAGCGGATCAAAACAAGTAAGTACATACATGCGAGTAACCCTTGTACATTACACTCTTTAGTTCAACCTTGGTTTCTTTCAAAACCTGTTCGGATTTCGCCAGATTCTTGATGTTTGTTTCAATGACCTTGTGCGCCTCAACTAGTTGACCTGTTCACCGCAAAAAGGACAGTCTTGAATCAAGATATCTGTACAGGAAGTGGATTTGGATTTGAGTAGCTGCACTTACGATGCAGAGTGTCCTGTTGCATAATGGCTTTGTGCAGCCGATCCTTCAAATTTTTGAGACGTGACTGATATCCGGAAACTTCTTCCTGTGCTTCGAGACGTTGGGTATGGATAACATTGAAGTTGCTCTGAAGTTGTTGTAGTTTCCTTTCAAGCCGCACGACTCTTTGTGTTTCTGCATTCCTATCCTCTTTCACTTTTTCTAGGTTGGTTGCCCATTCATGCGACAGATTTCGTATTTCGTCATTTTTGTATTGAATTTGTTTGTTGTATTCCATCGTCCTCTCAGCTAGTTGAATTTCGAAATTTCGTTGCATCTCTTGGTAATGCTCCAAAAGATGTTTCTCGAGTTCCTTACGGCTGACGGAAATAATTTCGATATGATTGCCATGTCTAGGATGTTTTGGGCGCAAAAAACCGTGAGCTGCATAGTGTACGAAAGCGTCTGCAGTGTACTCTTCTGTTATTGGGTCCATATTGCGCAATGATGTGATTGGTGAAGCTTTGAAAATGGGTATTCTTCGAGAGAGGTGCTTAAAAAGGTGGGGTGAGACCTCTACATTTGTGCTCAGCTCACCTTCAAGATGATTTGTGCTTAGCTCACCTTCAAGATGGTCATGGAAAAGGATGCCCAGCAGAATATACTCAGCTGTATCCAGATCAGTTAGCCCAATATAGATTACAATCCTGGCCTTTTACTGGTGAACTGAGCATCCTGAACATCTTCAGGACCAGTACAGGAGCAGGCCGGTGGATAAGTCGGGTCATGGTGGATCTTTGTCTTCCATCTTGAAAGGCACCTTGTCATTTCTCCGCATCAAACCTGGCAACTGCGTCAAAACTGGCAACTGATATTTTAAAGCCGGCTTATTCCACACAGTACCTCCGGTGTGATCTTGACAAAAAACATTCAACATGTCCCGAAAATTGACGAATTACCGCCTTAATGGGAAGCCCTCTACATCAATCCGTGTTCGCAATAAGCAGGTGTCAGCCAAACTGCCCGACTCAAATTCAGCTTTCTGCCAGTCAGTATACGATTTCGTTAAGCTGCTCATTGACAATGAGCTCCCCAGATCGTTATTGGATCGCCAGAAGGAAATCACTCGAGGTCAAGGAAGACATTCACCAGACAATAATACAGCTATTTTTACTACTTTTGATTCTCAAACCTACGAACCAAAGTACTCGGGGAAGAAAAAAGCAATCTCAACTAAATATAAATTAATATTTCTCGACGACTTAAACCAATTCCACCTGACCTACAACAACTTCGACTACACCCAGGATATCTCAGACAGTTGGAACACTTTTTTTATCAACCGCGTCTGCAAGCATTGGATAAATGCCGAGTCCCAGGACGCCTTTTCATCCTACGGCATTAGCACTGCTGATTTCAGTCCCGAAAATTTATATGGTGTTATCAGTCGGTGGTTCGATGGTAAAAGGGCCGAAATTCAGAAGAAGACACCGATAGATCCAAGGAAGAAAAACTTGTGGAGAAAGAGTTGGTATGCTCGCAACGCAGTAGGCTTCCTTGTCTTTTTTTTCCAATTGCTCAAATGATATGGGCTAACATTCATTATATTTGACAGCTGAAAAAACGACGTGTTAGCTCTTTAAATTCATTAGGTATCAGTGCTGAATGCTGCGAACCTTTTGAAGAACCACTATGTCACTCGGACAGCGAAGAACTTCCCGACAAGACTGTGCTAAAGGTGGGACTTCAATGGAGGTCACCTGTATTCGCAGCTTTGTGTGAGGTAGCCGACCGAGTCACCGTTGGTGCCACCTGCCCAGCCAGTATAAGGAGCTCGGCCCCTAATCGTAGGCTCATCGAAACCCGTCGGCGGCCTGCACAACGTATGAATATAGAAGCAAAAGTTCCAATGAACTTAGTCAGCGATGCTTACTGTGCCAAATTCCTAAAATCGCTTCCTGAACCAGAGCAAAAAGCACTCACAAACAAGCCACCGTCAGGACTGGCTGAGTTTTATTTTAAGCTCACTCGCGAGCATCCTAATCTCTTCACTTCCACTCAACTTAATTTGTCGAATTTGTGATCATTCAGATAAAAATTCAAATTTAATCAGATTTTGCATAGTGTTTTTGTTCTCTTTTTTTGTTTTCAAACCTGTATTTCAAGGATAATTCCAAGGATATAGAAAATTACAGTTGTGAAAAATTCGTTTTCTTGCCTAATATGTGATATTGTTGACTTTGAATAATCAGCTATTTGATTTAGTTCTTCGAGTAATAGGAATGCGTTGAGTGTGACTATATGAGCTTGGGTGTACACCAAGTGGATAAGTTTTTCAAACAGATTTAAACTCGAGAAGGGGGAAACATTTCAATTTTCCCCTTCTGGGAAAAGATAAATCATGTAAGGGAAAAACAGCTTTGGAGACAGGATGACTCATCCCTAGTAGTACATAGAAGATATCCAAGCGAACTCGTGTATGTAGTGGTAGAAGAAATGGAATACATCAACATTTTCTGAATATATATTGGATCGGGGAAACAGATTGATGCAATTTTGTAAGACTGGATTGTCCATTTATTGAGGTTTGAGACTGAATATTTGGCTGGTAGCCATGTATTGCCCGGTTAACGACGAAGGTCACAGTTTGAGGGTTCCGGACGACCACCGGCTGTGTATTGATGACGACCAGATTGGTGACGGTCAGGTTGGTAACGGTCAGATTGGTGACGGTCAGATTGGTGACGGTCAGATTGGTGACGGTCAGATTGGTGACGTTCAGAGGCTGAAGATTGGAAAAGGTACGAGCTTGAGGGTTGGTACAAAAGGTCACTCGAGGCAAAGGTCGGCAGTTGCGGTATGCAATGGGCACTTGCGGCAGGGGTTGATGCTTGTGTTATCGTCTGGTTATGTTGAGCAGCTGGGCCCTTCCGCATTTGACTCGAGCGTATAATAGCTTCCATTCGGGATCGTTGGATGCGCATTTGAAGGAGTTGTGCTTGAAGTTTGAGAAATTCTTCATCATGGAGACTCCTAGCAGTAATTCTCCTGACCATTTGCCCGACATCCACGCTCATTAAGCATTTCTCTTTGTCGATTTCTTCTTTTATCATGTTAGCCTCGTAGACTTGAAAACGTGTGAGAGTTTCTTGGTAGAGCTCGTTTCGCTCGATGGTGCTCGAGCACAGGAGTGCTCTCTCACAGAAATCCAATTCAGACAGCTTCTCCTTAGCTTCCGGGTTCAAATTGGGAAAGAAATGATCGAAGGTGAGCGCATGATCAACGGCGAGAGTGGATTGCCCTGTGGTGTGCTCGAGTGGGCCGGAGAACTTGGCTCTCTTGGTAGATTCGGGCTGGTTGTCGATGCTGTATTGTTGGATTATTTTGGCTGATTCTGCAAGTTGATCTTTGGCTTCGGCTAATAATTTCTGGACAAGACGCGGGTCTGAAGGTGGAAGTTTGGACGATATTTCAGCACGATTGCTGACTAGAGGACCCCGTTCCTGGCTAACCTCCTGGGGCTCAAAGGTCGAAATCGCATCTGAGTGGAAGAGAATGCATCAAATTTTACCAAGATCACATGACATTCAAAGAATGTGAATTATTTACCATTGCCCATCAATGGCCTTTCGGAGCTTAGAGACTCACTACCCCTTTTGATATGTGTAGTATTTGTTTTGTTGCAAGCCATGGATTCCTAATTGTTTACAAAATACAGTCCTATCTGAAATCAGCATACGAAAGAGGCAAAATAGCTTTCCAGACTTACTAGATTTGAAATGGTTTCCACTTAGAACAGAATCCCGAATTTGTCAAAAGATAAAATTTTAAACTTGTATCTTTGTTGCAATCAGGGGAGGGACCGTTACAGAGACTTTCAGGCTTCTGTACACGGAGTTGTGGATGCTACCCTTTGTCCAACCTGAGGTAGATGACTTGTGAGATCTGTTTGGCTAATCAATGGCCACATTGTAACAATTGGCCGCACTCAAGATTGATTTCAAAACCCCGCACATTCATGAGGGATGAGAGGCAGCCTCCGGTTTTGGTGCACCATTGGTATAGGCAAAAACTAAGAATCACTTATCATTTACACAAGTACATACAAGGTCAAATGGATACGGTGAAAACATGTGTTTTTACGCTTTGATTCTGGTTCTTAAAACGTTTATCAGTGACACAATATCTTGTTCATTCAAATAATCAATAGCCAATGCTCGGGAATCATGACTATCTAAAACTTTGTCCGAAAAGTCCGCTTGAGTTATCAAGATCATTGCCTCTGGTACAATCACATCGAGCACGTAAGTTGTTTGTTGTTGTTCAGTGAGTTTGAAGAACCTTTGATCGATTATGAGCTGGGGCTATGGAATAGAACATACTTCGGAATTAGGAAATGCTGTAGACTAGAAAAACCAAAAACTAAAGAGAAAAGTTTACCGGTTGTTCATGTATGTATCGATTGGTCAAATACTGTGTCATGCTGCAAATGATGGCTTCCGAATATTGGCCGTAACTTATGTACCCTGCTGATCCGTGTGCTTCAGTCGTGCCAGTGAGATGAGCCTCATGCTTGTTGGTAACCGACTCCTCCATGTAAGCGCCGGCAACAATTGAGTCGATTTTTGGAATCGCCTCCAGTAGCTTTGGGAAGAGCTGATCAAAAGTGGCCTCGATAGTTTCCAACTGACCTAACTGAATGAAACAAAATCACAATTATAAGCAGATAACTCAGAACATAAAATTAAAAGGTTTCTGTGGATTTACTTTTGCCGTAAAGAATTCCTCTTGGAATACAGTTAAGAAGAAGGATCGAGGAAGTAGCATCTGTTCCTCATCGCAGAAGTGAACACGGTAGAGTTGCTCGTTGTGCCTGGTGATGGTCTGCTTGCTCAAAGAACCTTCGCGGCCGATAAGTCGAGCAGGCCAGTATTCATTTGAACTTGACTTGGTTTTGCAGACAATGGGTTCCCCTGGAAGTAACAATCCCTCATCCAGTGAGTTGTTTGAGGGTTGATTCGAGGGTCGGGAATATGTGGTCCCGGAATCCTGCGAGAAAACCTGGGAGGTTGCAACTGAATCTGACTGATGAATTGGCGTGGTGGCTTGGTTCTCCCGTACACGATTATATGCTAGGTCCATGATCACTGAAGCATTTGGCAAACTCCGCATATAACTTGATCTATCATCTGATTCTACAGTGGTGAGACAAGTTGCTGTATTAGATTGTGTCCAAAATAGGGAACTGATTGGGGTCATGGACGACATTTGGAGTTCGGTATAGTATCAGGGTGGAAGTCGAAATCAGTCAGACACCAGTGGGACCTAGCCGCAAGTTCCATGTTCCTGATGGCTCAATAGCTCTTTCAAGCGTGTTGCACCCCTTGTGATCTGCAGGATGAGCCTAAGAAAGGTCATATCTGTGAAGAACTCCTTTCACATCAGGGAAGGGTCCTGACCGCTTAATTTGATGGAGTGCAGCAAAAAGGAAAATTTTTATCAAATCACCCATGTAGCCCTATGATGTTTCTGGGCTTGTAAGTCGTAAGCCACTGTGCTACAAAGAGGTAGCAGATAAGAGATTTGTATCACTCAATTACTCTGAGTTCGGCAGTGAACCCCACAGAGTAGCTTAAGAACACACAACAAGGTGATACATAACAACTTGAACAGAACAAGTATATTAGCTACTCAGGGCATGTGACTCGCGTCAAGTAAGCCCCATTCTAGAGATCAAGGGAGATGGGGGCCTGGACCCCTGTGTATTGAAAGAGAACCCCCCGATTGCACTTAAATATACTGAAAAGCATCACCAGCGACCGGATGGTTTTTCCAGGTTGTGGTTCATGCATAACCCGATCAATTGAGCCCTGCAAGTTCTCAGTCAGCCAGATACATAATCCAATCAAGGCAAAAGGCAGTGAGCTTACAAGAAGCAGGTTTCCAGTTTCGTTGTATAACTCAAAGGTGAATTCGAATTGACCGAGAACCTGGCTGATAGCCTGGGAGAGTTCGATTCCTTCGTGCACCAATTGCAATTCGTATTTTCGTTGTCGGACCCACATATCTCCAAAGACCAGCCGTAAGAAGTGTTGCAGAATCCCACTTTGACTGATAGTATTCGAGAGTTTCTTTCCTTTCAAGTATAAGAGTCTTCGAACTTGCGAGTTAGCCTTGGAGGCCTGTTGGATAGCATGCGTAATCTTATTGGAGACGCCTAGCAGCGAGTTCAAAATTCGGATAAGGTTTAGCATCATTAAATTCGGAGAATCGATTCTGGCGGCCAGGTCGGCTTGATTGAAAGCATAGTACTGTGAGAAGGTGGATCAGTATCAAGTCAATTGGGAAGGAAGTGCCAGAAACACACCTCTTCAAAAAGCAACTGCATTTCCCACTTTCCCTTGACGTTTATAAGGCGTGAGTGATGAACCAATTGGTGCAGTTCCAACGCCACCACCTGCCATAGTTCCATCAGGCTTTGAGAATCGAGTTCTGAACTGGGTTCGCTATCCGCTGAGTCCAACCTAGCCCTAAACTTGTCCATTTCTTCGAGCAGCACTACATTAATGGTATCGATTTGCATCATCGCCTCCACAAAATTGCAATGCGATTTTTCTTCCGTGGGATCCGTCTGGTTTCGAAACAAAGGTTTAGGTGGGGAGTACAATACTCGTTGATCACTTCAGACAGACGGCAGGGACAAAAGATTATTTTGGGTCAGCAAACCCAACATACCCACAAGAATTGAATAACAGGGGAACCTATTTCACCTGGGCACGGATTTGTCTGTCTCATTGGATGTACGCAAAGAACAAATCAAGAAAAGGAAGCCGATGACTATTGAGGTTGTCATGACAATGGTGGTGTTCGTGGGGCAGATCCATTTGATGCCAAGGCTTTGTTGAGGTTTCTCTTGCTCTTCTGTGGATGGTGATGTGGGCATTTTGACCAATGTGGAAAAGAGTTGTTTGCTCGAATGTTGCTACGAAGGATGCTACAAATAACTTGAAACTACTTGTTTGAAATCCTGGAGCCACCGCTGCACCCTAAGGCCGCCGAGTGATCATGCTTGTGCGTGCAAGTCATACATATGTAGAAGAATTGTCCCGGTTCTAAGCACTTCCCTGCAGGTGAAAAGTGTATACATTACTTTCACATATGTATGTAAGGAACTTTTTCAAACACATTTTTAGAGCACGTTGCCATGCTCATTGCCACTACTTTTCAGATTTACTATTTTGATTTGGTAAGACTCAATTTGTAGATACAGCAATCACTAACTCGAGCATACAAACCCTGGGTCACAGCTCAATGGGGGGGGGGGGGGGTTCACAATTGAAATTTATAAAGTTTTTATAGCCAATTTTAAGCTGCTTATCAACAAGATTCTTAAATTTTTGTCAAAATGAATAGATTTTGGGGTTTCTGAACAATCAGAACAACTTTTTCAGTTTTCAAAAAGTTGTCAATAAACACCTAAAAATTTTGTAAATTCCCATTGTGAATTGTGAACCCCCCTAATAAGACCTGTAGATTTCAAATGTTCCAAAATCAAAATTATAATAACAAGGGTAGTTTGAAAGGATAGGCTGTTGACTTTGAGGTTACAGTCTATCTTAAACACCCTAAATAAGCAGGAAGAGTATTAGAAATTGGAATTAGTCTTTTTGGGGGAATTTTAATTTTTCTGAATTCAACAATCATGATTCTTTCCACATATTGCTACTTGATACTTGTGAAGTTGTGAGTTGTGGCTGAATTGGCCCTTTCAAAAGTATCACTGTAACATCATCCCCAAAACTTACAATTCCAAACTTGTTACAAGATCAGATAGTATTTAGTTCACCGGTAAACTGACAGGCTTAGGCAATCACATTACACTAGTTTCTGGTTTTGTAAATTCAATAGGGAATGTGTATACATAGAAATCACAGAGGATAAAAAAATTCAGGGAATTAATATTTGTATTCAAGTTTTCTGTGTTTAACCCCAGTTTCTACAGCAGTCCCTACACCTGCTCTTCTGAAATTAAACCTGGTTGTTTCCCCCCTTCTTGCCAGGGGATTCAGGGGTCAACAATGTTTCAAAAATCATTAAAAACCTGGATTCTTATAGCCCAGGTATTCCCTACTCTAATTTGGAAGATTTGGTGTACATAAAATGATGGATTACATATGCATAAAATGATGGATTAAATATGCATAAAATGATGGATTAAATATGCAAGAACTGAAGCAACCCAATCATGTAGTGCTTACATATAAAAATGAGCCTGCCTTTCAAGAAAAAATAGAGCATTCCAAATATGATAAAATGTAACATTGAAGCAAAAAACATTGACCAAGTAATTTTTTGCCAAATTTAATTGATAAGAACCCAGTGAAATAGATGGAAAGGTTAAATTGCTTGAAAATGTAGTTAAATCTTTGAAATTTTCTCTGTGTGCACAATGAGCATTTCATCTTGGAAGCATAAAAACCACGATTGATACAAATTTGATAATGTCTGATTTGATTACAAAACTGATAATGATCTAGAAACATAATCTTTTGATAATGATCAATAAAAAAATGTAAAGGACACAATCCAAAAGTTTCAGATTGATACACTGACTGTAACCTCCATTAAATCCCAAAAAGTGGGTCAAATAATTATCAAAAGATTCACAAATTCTTATTTTGAAACACTGGGACATGGTATGGACAATATATGTATGTGCCATTTTCTCAGTTTCTGCCTGTTTTAAAAGAATTCTTTGTGGTTCACATTCGTCCTTGTTGAAAGATGGAACTTCGTGAAATATTGTGGGAAGGCAAATGCAGAAGCATAGAGAAAAGAGGAAAAGCAGAATAATGGGGATTGAAAATCGGAAGTTGGTTCTAGAAGGGTGCCAATATTTCGTGTCCTCTGCTTTGAAATGATAGTTTTGTTGGAACTTGTTAAGATGTGTTCGATGCCTTCCAGTTAAAATCTGCATGAATAACTCACTAGTGGCTGAGGAAGGAGAGTTCAAAACTTGTGTTGATGCAGTTGAATTCAGCACTGTGTTTGTCTTCTGAGGTATGGGTTTGGGCGGCTTTGACCATGACGAGGCCGGGTTGCTGTTTGGCAGTTGCGGAGGAATTGCTGTGCCTGTTTTCGGCTTGGGTGCTGGATTTTGATCAGGACGTTTGGTGAGATCAGAAGGGATTGATTGTGCTGGATTGGATGTCGAGAGGAGCTTAGGTGCAATTGAATCTGACACTGCGGTTGTATTCTTGGTTATGGTTTTTTTGGAAGCCTTCAACGATGAGGATGGAACCGATGTGGTTTGTTCTGTTGGATTTTTTGATGTGGAAGATTGTTTTGGATTTTTGATTGAATCTTGTGAGATATGTCCAATGCATTTCGCTTAAAATTGAGATGAAAAACTCACCAATAACAGAGCAAGGAGCGCTGTTGGAGGGTGTTGAAGGAATCACTGTGCCTGTTTGCGTTTTGGGTACTAGATATTGTCCGGGAGATTTGGCACAATCAGAGGCGATTGATTTTAGTGAATTGGAAGTTGAAAATGTTTTCGGCAGAATTGATTCGGGTGCTGGCTTTGTCTTCTCGGGCATGGTTTTTTCGGAAGCCTTCGACGATGATGATGGAACCAATGTGGTTTGTTCTGTCAGATTTTTTTTGGATTTTTTCATTGAAGCTTGTCAACATATGTTGGATGCATTTGAGTCAAAGTCTGGATGAATAACTTACCAATGGTTGCGCAAGGAGAGCTGGTTGATGGCGCTGAAGGAATCACTGTCTTTGTTTTCCGTTTGGGTGCTCGACTTGGTGCAGGATGTTTGGCTGTGGCAGGATCAGAAGCAATCGATTGTGTTGAGTTGGATGTTGAAACCTTTTTCGGCGCAATCGTAGAATTTCGCGATTGGGAAGATTGTTGGTTTTTTTCTAAGTATCTGGAGCGAGTAGGCGATTGAAACCATTTTTCTAGTGTTGAAAGAGAAGTCAAAGTGCTATCATCCGAATCACAATCGGACATGGTGTGTGATGATAGAGAACTCAAAGTGCTATCATCCTAATCACGATCGGACATGGTCTTTCTGACTTATTTAGCTTCCAGGCAAGGATTACAACACGTATCAACCAAAAGTCTTCATGGCCCAGAGCTCATGACCTGTCATGACAATTTAGATCTCTTGATCGATGGAAATCTCAGGAATATGCATGTGGTGTGCTGAACAAGACGTGTTTTATTTGCCACGCTGACTTGGGAGCTGTCTGGATTGTCCTAATATACAAAGATCGCAGTTGTAGAAATTAACTGAAACTTCAACTTTTTGGGTTCTTTATCAATTTTTTTATTCATCTGCCGCTCCAGAGACTTTTTGCTAGGGACCTCTGGAATGGCTTTCTGGGCTCCTCTTTAGAGATCCTTCCAACGACAGATACGTAGACTCGAAACAGTTGTCTACCTCATCACACTGTATGGATGCTTTGTGCGGAGAGCTGAAGACACCGAATTTATTTTCGAATAGGCCAAAGCTGCAAGCAGCTGCAAGCCCTGAGGTTGTGGTATTCCTCACTACGTCAAGTCATGACAAAGGGAAGTGGTTGCTGGATTGAATGGAGTCAAGAATCTGGTGGCTTCGGTCAGCTTTGTGTTTTCATCGATACCCTCGACCATCTTATCACTCTTCAGAATCCATCGACCGATTCCCCTAGTGACTTCCATCCAAGAGATCTACATACATTGCCAGCCCTATCCCATCTGGCTCTCAGCTCATCTCTCCCTACCATCGACCAATTCTACTGGTGATTTCCACCCAAGAGATCTATATACATTATCATCCCTACCCCATCTCACATACCAGATGAGCTATCAAACCTCTTCTGCACACGATAGCGCCATGGACACAGGTGTGTCATCGTTGCTCCTTTTAGATTCTTTCGACCTTTTTTGACCAGAAATCACTCCCCTAAGGCTCGAGCACCCCAAGCACCAATGCCCCTAGCACTGTCGAAATCACCAACACGCTCCGTTCCCTAGAGTTATGCATTGCTGGGTTGCAGGAGCGCACTGAAGGTGCTGTTCAACCAATTGCGGAGTTGCTGCACAAAATCGAAGAGGAGTTGGGAAATATCCAAGAACAACTCGCCCACGTCACCCACCCAAGCCAAGGCTCTGGCACGACTGAGCGAAATGCTGAGCGAAATGCGACCAACATATTCAATCCACCGGAAATGCCTGTCGAGCGCATTACGACTTTCAATCGATACATTCCGGTTTTCCTTGCCGAAAGAGTTCCAGCCGCTCAAGTCCACTACATCGAAGCTTTGAACAATTTGAGTTTTGAAGACAAACTTATCATGTCATCGGTCACTATAGAGCGTAACGAACTGTACCAAGATGCATATCTCGCACTCCTACAAGTAGAATCCGAACTCTTGAAAGAAAGTATTGCTAGTGGGGCTATCGCAGCCAACATTACCAATCGTGATTCTTTCCTCTACGAACTCTTCCATATTTTCAACGACTCTCCTGAACATAAGAGGGCGCAAGACAGCGTACTCCGCTTGCGACTTAAGAGGTATCGCGTGAAGGAAATTGCGGACACAATCAACACGTTCTATATGGCTACTACGTTGAGTTCATCCTCTGGCTCTTTTGAATTTTCATGGCTTGTAACATTTGGATATCACCCGTAGGAACGAAGAAGAAGCTGTTGTAAGGGACGAAGAAGGTGCAGTAGCCGAGAATGAATCAGGCACTGTTGCGAGGAATGAAGATGGGGATCGCTAGAGGTGTTCCAATGGTCATTAATTGTAACGTAAGTGATTCAATCGCAACTGGAATATTCGAGTACTCATCTGAATATGACAATTGTACCTGACCCATGTCATTATTATAATACAGGCCGGTTGGATTCACAAGCACCAAGCTGGAATTTGATTGTCACCTACGCTGTTGATCCTCAATTTCTGATATTTGCAACTACACACAATTCCAAATGTTTCGGAATTTGATGATGAAAATTTATGACTTAGTTCCACGATGATAAATTGTTTTCTACTCAATCCATTCCCGAATTCCTTGAACTAGCTCCACAACGGGGGCATGTCTCCTACTATTCCATATATGCTTGAGATTTAAGAACTAGTTCCTCGATGATATTGCTGCGGTTCAATCATAGCCAAGTAATAACAAAAATGGAATGCTACCTTATCTTGTTGGATCGTATTCACGATTGGATGAAAATAATCTAATAAGCTCGTGGACTCTCTTAAGTTAGTATGTAAATTTCCATGAGTGAAAGTAGTGTCATGTATCTGGTGGGTGGTATCCGTGGGTCCAGCACGGCTTATCAGCTAACTTCCCTCCCTCCTACATGACGGAGTGGTGAGACACTGGTCGCATTGCGCCGACCGGCCTCCTTCGGAGGGTCCTTACGGGACGGCAACATCCCCCCTCCGACTTCAGAGGGACTTTGATAAGTTAGGCTTATCAGTGGGTTCAGCACGACTACGGCTGCAGCGAATTGAATCCGGCAGTCTTAGCTGAGGGAAAATTTTGCTGGGAAAGGTTTGGGTTCAGCTATCCGAGGGGTGGCTTCAAGGAATCCAGTGCACACACTCTACATTTACTACTCTGCTAGCAACAAGTGTTGTAACACACGTGTTACATCCCTGAGACTAGCCGCAGCACATCCGCAGACTCTACCCGAAATACCTTCCGTGGTCCTACATAGTCACGATAAAAATCCGATCCCTGCAATTTTACCGATCTGTACCACACATCGAAGAACCAGTCCAACCGAACACTACCTACTCAAGACTACCATACGATACCCGCGAAGGGCTGGCTTTGAGCATCGTGACCGAGGCGATCGAAGGATCCAAAAACGCAACAAAAAACCCCTAATTATGGACTTGATTGGCTATATTTTGGACACCCATGGGCACTTGGATCGATCAACATAGCATGGCTCGATTATTTCCTCCTTTCTCCATCTGGGGAATCATCCCCAAATCCCAAGAAGACTTTTGTATCAAGTGAGCAGGCATAGGAAACGACGAGCGTATAAACCGGCCAACATGGTCAGTAATCCTTCGAGTTCTGTCATTCTTGCACGATTCATAAACTTTGCCATATTGATAGCAAAAGGAAATTTTGTGATCAATTATGAATACAGGACTTGATGGTCAATTTTGGTTTGCTTGGCCTCCGTCAGATTCGTCTTCTTCCACCCTCAAGCGCTCCGTCCACGAAATTCTCAAGTTCACAGTCAGTGGGGACAGTCATCAATCACCATCATTCTCAAGTTCGCGGCCAGCGGGGACAGTCATCAATCATCATCTTTGCTCCGACATTCCGACCCAGGGGCGATTCTTCCTCAAACATCAACGGAATCTTAGAACACACCTGATCGTGATTCAGACTCTCGACTCCTCGACATCCTCGCTCAGATAGGCCTCTTACCACCGTTTACCTGCCATGTATCGGCTCAGTTCGCCCCAATCTTACCAGAACCAGCCTGAAGATGGATTTCATATTTGGAATTTCAAGACGACGGTCGTCGATATTCCGATCAAATTTTCTCATACTGGCCAGCTCAACCCGACCAGAATAACCCGCTTCATTCCGACCAGAGCCATTCATTATTTCAAAAGGAAAAAATCTGGTCTAACCTCCGTTCGATCATTAGTGCATTCAGCTTATTATTACCGCACCACCCCTTGTTATTTCTGTGAGTGTTTCTTAAGACCCAAGTTTTCTCCCTTTTTGAAACGTCAAGCCTCGTTGCTAACATTTTGCCCATCAGACCTTTCGTGATTCTTGTACGCCATCCCGCCCTTGGGACCGATCCTTTTCAAGTGTTACCAGTCAAAACCCTCGCATCAACTTCTAAACTTGTGGCATGGGAGACCGAGCCTCTGGAAGCAGAGGCGGCCGAAGGAAAAACGGTCCTGATCCGAAGCTCGAAGACAGCAAGAATGGGAACCGGTGGGAGGAGATGGTGGACCAGGTGCAAGCTTGGGACCTGTTGCTGATAAGACCAACCCAGCTGCAGGTCCGAGCAGCTCTCGCCAAGAACGGCTGGGTTGTCCAGTCGAAAGAATTCCATGATTGTGAAAAGGACGGGCAAAAAAATGAATAGAGTATGACGCATTTCTTTAGTGATTAATTTTTGAAACATCTAGAATGATTCGCCTACTGACTTGTATTGAGTATTGGTTCTCACCGCAGCTGCAGAGGCGAAACGCCCCATGACCGATTTCCGCATTGAGGGATTGGAGATAGCTAATCTGTCATGGTCATGGACAGCCAACAAATCGGATGGTATTGTCGCAATGGCCAACAACACGATCACCACTAGCCTGCAAGAAAAAGCCAGGACGTCAGAAGAATGGCATCCTTCACATTGTCACAGTAGCTTCAGAGTCACAACCTACCATCGCCCAGCCTCTCGATGTCCCGTAAGCTCAACTCCGCGATCGGTTCAAACCGGCCTCTGAATCTTCTACTTCAAACGCCAAAGAAAACTTTCGATTCTGCACGTATTTCTCTTCACCTTCCAGCGAAGGCATAAATATACACACCTCAACCACTCACTCCAACAAGCCCGTATCAGGCTCAGCGGCTGGCAAACGCAAACTTTCTGTATCCGGCCCCTCCGTCATGACCGGTCCGGTTCGAGCCCCACCAAATCTCCATCTCCCAATCAAGAACAGCTCAAAAATGCCCAAACAGGAAACAAATTCTCAACCCCCCGAAGGCGCTCCTAACAATTCTCAGTAGGCTGATGTTCTGTCAGATGTATCGCTTTTTGATTTTATTCTTTTCAGACAAAATTAAACAGGAGTCGGGTCCAAAAGCCGAAGGGACAGAGAATACCTTGGGCAATGATTCCAACACTACTCCAGTTATACCTTGGGCGATGATTCCAACACTACTCCAGTTACTAATGACGAGGCTGATGCAAATGACGAGGCTGATGCAGATGATGAAGAGGGGGAGAACCAAAGGCAAAGGCGAAGAGGACAAGAGTCTTCCGGCCCCTGCAGCTCAAGCCGAATATCTTATGATCGCAATACATGTCGCATGGCCCAAGAAATTGGATGGTGCAGTTGACCAAGGGACTGATAGGTGAGACTATCACCTATCTGTCTTCTCGGGGCATCTTACATTTTGCTAATTTTTTTCTCGCTTGACCAGGTGGAGAATTTGGACACTGGCAATTGGGCCGTCATTGATTGCGGGACACTAGATGCTACATGGCGCAACGGACCAGAATGACTCAGAGAGAGAACCATCTTCTCGTCGTGAGTAAAGTCTTCAGCCTTGTTCCCCGCTCCAGCCTAACAATTGCTGATTAATGATCTACTATTGACAGCTGCCAGTGGCGAGAGCGACTTACAATCTTTGGCAGCTGCTCCTAGACACAGCGAAGCTGTCAAGCGGCAAGCTGGGTTTCATCACCTTCAAATCGGCACCTTCCACTCCAAATCAGCCATCTCGCTCAACAACCAACAACCAGCCATCTACCGTAGCACCGACTGGATCACACTCAACCCCAGGCTCTTGAATCTCATTTACCCCACAGCGCGCCCGGGGTCCTCAAAGTCAAATGGCAGCTGCTATCAGCTGCAGATACCCATCGTATCCTACCTCCCATGCATCCTTTGCTCAATCCAACCCTTTCCAATCCCCTTGAAGCTAACTACAAGCCTGGCACCAAGCGTACAAGTGACGAGAATCAACCCATCCCGCCTCGACCGCCTCCCAACCTTCGACTCCCCGCACCACTTCTTCAAATGCTCAATCAGATGAATCAGAAGGCGCGCCCAGCAACGTCTTTGATGTTCTTACGCGCAACACTCTAGTTACATCGTCTCCTTTCAAGCCGTCTGGCTCTGACCCACGAATGGTGTGCTCAAGATGCAGAGACTTGGCGGCCCCCGAAGCCCCACCCCCCCTCATACTCCACAGTCTTCCGGTTACGTCTCACTCAACAGTCTTCCGGTTACGTCTCTGAACCCGAAAACTGTGATCAAGATCGACGAGTACCGTCTGCTCTGAGCTGCCCGAGTAGGCGCTGGTAGCGTCGTCAAGGACGTCCTGGAGTTTAAATGGCAAGAACTCACATCTATCTGATCTGAACTTTGGCCAGGTCCATCGACCTCGACGAAACCCCTCAAGCGTTGGTTGGCCATCCCAGCCCTGAGCATCAACCACATCTCTCTGAATTTTGGCAAGGTCCATCGACCACGACAAAACTGCACGACCTTGCTTCTCGCTATTACAATAAGCAGAACTAACCAACTTACCAGGACGATGAAGACGATGCCGTTGACCGATCTTATGGCTCGGAAGAACCGCTCCCGCCTGTAGTATCTGGCATCGATACCTCATACACTGCGAACAGTCAAGTGAAATTGATCCGGTTGATCAGATGGTCGACGAACTGCTTACATCTCCTGACATAGCCAGACTTGTTAATGCCCAAGCAGGTCAGCCTCGGTTGACAGCCTCTCTTGTGCATGGCCAAGACCGAAATTGCCCACCTGGAAAATCCGGCCCTTCCGAGGAGACTTTTGTAGAAGCGGCCAACAAGGAACGAGCCCGTAAGAAGGTCGCACTCGAAGCTGCCTCAACTGGTCATTCTGGCACCCTTGAATCCTCTTCTCAAAGGTCTTACTCCTTAAACGCTGATTTACCCCGACCCCCTCGCCACGTCCTTTCCTCTCAGACCCTCGTCCAACCCATTCAAAACCCCTCCTCTCAACTTGCCCTCTCAGATCTCCCTGCCAGCATCACCACCACCACCACCACCAATAATTACAATCCACGCAGCACTCTCTATCTCCATCACTGTCGCTTAACTTAACAGTCACCAACCCCACCAATCAACCAACATCCATACAAACCAGCTCGCATCCACAACCACCCCGCCCCGAGTCCGAACAACCCTGCACAAATGATCACAAATGATCTTGATATCAATCTCCTCAATTCTGCCCGTCCAGCCACAAGGAGCCCCATCCCGATCAACTCAACCACTGACCCCGTTCTCAGAACCGGTGGCATCTCTCCCTCACCAGTTTCCTCCTCATCTTCTCTCGAGACCTCTCGTCTTCACCTCAACCAGCAAGCTATCCTCCGTAACGACGGTTCCACCTCTTCCTCCACCCTCGATCATCCTGAACCAGTCTGACAAAACGGTTGATCGTGGGAGCCCTAACCACCAACACACTACTAGAGTCTCAGTCGAGAAGGACGAGCAATCTGCAGCCGACGGGAGCGAAGCTGACGTAGTCATGGAACATGTTGATGATGACGAAGCAGGACCCAGTAATGGCCGACAGCGCTCTTGACGAGATACCATCAAAGCCAGCCAAGCTAACGCACACAAGGTCGTTCACATCACTCCTCTAGCCCCACCTCGCCCCAATCTCTCCGAGCTGGATCACGAGAATCAACCGTTGAACACTCAATCCCAGTCAAGTCCCATGGAGGGTCTGCCATCATTCATGCTGCCAATCATCAGGCACCTCCCGCTTCGTCATGCTCGTCTTCCCTACTCTGGCCCTGGTCGCCCTCATGCGCAAACTCGACTCTTATCATCATCATCATCATCATCATCTGCTATTGCAAGCGCCGTCGGCCCAGTCTCTGAAGACGTACCCATGACCGCCTCTCCTGAAACTAAAAATACCCCCGTTGATCCTGGCTAGCTCTCACGGGTCTTATCAGAGACCGAAGGTGCCGCCCTCGCGCGCACTTTCACCACTCGTCGTCAACCCGCTCCTCTTACAACCGCACCAGCTCCGACTGCTAACGTGGTCGATCACGTCGCTCCCAATGCGGCTACGGCGCGACCGGAAGATCAATCAGTCTCAGCTCACCAGTCACTCTAGCCTTTCGAGATGAGGATGTACTATTGGCACTTCAATTGCTAGCATACCTGTCCAAGTAAGCACACCTTCGGGCATACTTCCATGAGCCTGCGAATCGATCGACCCTCGAACTCACCTACGGCTCCATGTAAGACGCGACAAGGGCTTTGGCCGAATTTAGCGGGCGCTTCAAGAGCGAGCGGTACGAGCGTGAACGGGGCAAAGAATTCTCCAGCGGAACTGGAATCCAAGGCTCGCGCCGACGTCCTGCATCTGCACAAGACTAACACTCACTACCCGATGCTGATCCAGTCAGCTCATCCAAGGATCTTCGTGGGCCTTCTTCTCAGGCTCATTATCCTCATCGCTCCTATCCTTCTTCAATAATGCGAGCGCGGATGCAAGTAGAAGAAGCCTTGGAGGAAGCCCGGTTAGGCCGGGGAACTCATGATCCATCATTGCCTAACGCTAACCAAGCGCCCTCTAATGACTCTGGGACTGACCCTTTGCGACCCGCATTACTGCTTGGTGGGGTAGCCCTGTCCAGCACATCGGCTATGGTCAACACAGTTCCCCAGATGCTACGACAGCCCAGTTTTGTGCTCGGACAATCTGGCTCCAATCTCATGCCCGAAGTCGCCCCCTCACACGGCTCTCACAATCAGTACTATGCCTCCCATCCGGGGTCCAATGCCCACCAGATCCAGGATTTAGACTCAGCTCGGATGATGTATAACCATGCCCGGGCTCAGCTGTCGAACCCGGCTGGATCTTTGACAGGATCACCATCATCATCGTCCTCCACTATCAACCCACTCGCCTCGAACGTGTTTTCTTATGTCGAACGTTTCACCCATCAACGTCTCCCACACGACGTCCACAGCCCTACTATCCCCGGCGAAATCTAGTATTGGCCTGGGGTGATCATGCGCAATGCTTGTCGTAAGGACGAGACCCGCGGTGGGATCCGGCAGTGCGCTAATATGCAATGTGGAAGATGGGAATTGGTGCCCAGAGAATTTGCTAAATGCAGACGGTGTCGTAAGGCTAAATAATTCTCTAAAAGTTGTCAGAGTCGCGCATGGCAACATGGTCATCGCTTTTGGTTTGTTACATGATCTGTGTTGATTCATGACCTGTGTTTGTTAATATATCATTATTGATTTAGAGTTAAACAGAATAAGAAGCTGATTAAAGGATTGTGATTTGATATGTAGGTGTGTAGTACCCGAGCGGAAGGAGAGAGCAGTAGTATGGCGGCAACGACAACGAACATGGGGACGGGGGATACAGAAGCAGGAGCAGCGAGTGCTGGGACGACTGAAGGAGGAGAGGGAGCAGTGGAAGATCCAAGCCAACGGGTGGATCGAGCGAGTCGAGCCTTAGCTTTGAAAGACTGGCGATGGGCCAGCTGGGGCGGGTCGACGAGATCGGGGGGATATCTCGGGGGCGGCATCGAATATCGCAACCCCTCCGGATCGCGAACTTCGCGTCGAAAACACGCTGAACCATGCTGCAGTCGATAATCCTAATCCTCTTCCTCACCATCCTAATAATCCTGCCCTTGTCGTCGTTCCGGCTGATCAACTCGTAAATGAACGCCCCGAGGAAAATAACATAATGCTCAGCGATGTTCTAGTGACCTCTAGATTGGGCTTTCCAGACGTAGTCTATCCGGGTGACTGTAAGTTACTTATAATGACCTTCCGTAACCTCAGTGTCGGCGCTTTCAGATCCTTATTGTATTTTTTTTTTCGTTCCCCAGCTTGGGGTGAGCCGATGACATTGGATATCAGCTCAGAGACCATCGAAATCTGACATCTGCTCTTCCCCTAGAGAAATCGACCCGAAACAAAAGCACGTGGACAAGCCGTTTGCCTCTGCCTACCTACCGCTGTTCTCATTCAACCGTACGTTCATACCGGATGGCGAGCACAGTTTGATACTGTTCAAGTATGACAAACAAAGCGCTACCTGAAGTTTATTGTTGCATACGACCGACCGTTGTGCCTGGACAAACAATACCGGAAATCACTGCAGCACCCTCCAAGCTGGTTATCCGATGAGGTTCATCCTTCGGTCGAGAGAGTTGCTGGGAATTGAAGAATTGATGGACTGATGTGTGATGCGTTAATATCTAAATTCAAAGTTGATGTTAGCACGTTGCTCATTCGAATCATTGACCTCATGACCACTGACCCAAGTTCAATGATTGGCACTCAAACCTTGGCTGTCCAACACGTCTGATGACTGAACTAGTCGAGGTCTTCACCCCACTCGAGTTGCTAGAAAAGGCGAATGCTTTCTGCGAGTTCATCAAGGTCATCCATCAAAGGCAAGATTGTGATGTGGAAATCTCGGCGAATTCGAAGATTATCTAATGTTCAAACCCCAAGATAACAATGTTGTTAAGCATTCAGCTCGAGTGTCGTGGTTGGAGGCAATCTGGATTGCTGTCGCCGTGATCGCGGTAGCATTGGCCAAATTACGCGAAGTTCTGATCAACTCTGCTGTCTGTAACGATCCAGGAAGCCTGGTACCAAGTTACTTAGGTCCTTCCGAAAGTTCTAAAGCCCTGCCAACGTCGCCATCGTCCAGCGGCTAGGAACAGCTTCAG